ACGAGGCTGCATTTCAGGGAGTACGTCGACACGTAGATTTCGTTGACAAATATGAAGTACGCCAAATTTGTCGTGGATGCAGTTTGGCGGTACGGCACGCTGTTAATCTTGATCACCGTCTCGAGGCCGAGGGCGTTTTGAATCGTGACTGTTTCTTCAATGCCTTGCTGGTACCTGTTGCTGAGCTGGGTGATCCACCTGTTGATGCCATACGACTTCCACAGGTCGATCTCGTCGCGAATGGGTAAGAACGTGTGGTTGTGAATGTTGTCAACCCAAATGTTACCCGTCGGGGTGCGACGGAGGGCCTGGAACACCGTCGCATTCAGCCATGCATAAAACGCACTCCCCAAGATTTCTTTTCGAGCCGTGTTTCGCAGGATGGCGCCGAGGTACATGGCGGCATTTCCCAAATCGGTTCGCTCACAACGCAGTTGGCGCTTGGCCGTATGCGCCAATTCAAACGTGCGGTTGAGATCGACCCAGCAGTACGGGGTCGGGAGATTCAAAATCAGCGATGAATTTCGAAAGATGCCAATGATCTGGTCCATCGGCATCGGACTCAGTAGAAGCGATCGCGCCCGGGATGGATTCAAGTCGATGGCGGTTGTGGCCCGCGAGTAGTCCTTGGGCACCGCCAACGCCGACGAGAACGCCAACGAGTCAACACGTCCATCCACCGCGACTGACAGCTGCGAGTTGTACACGTCGGCCAGAAACGTTTGCGTGCCGGTCGTGTTGAAGTCACGCCAGTAGTAGTCGTTCGTGGCCGTGTGCTGAATCAGGTACGCGAACCGAACGCTGCATGCAATCGTGCACGCCAAGTAGAGGAAGCTACCCCACACACCAAAGCGTCCATGGCTCGTTGGTGTGGGCGTTTGGGCATCCAGCGACGCAATCGTGACATCGATCATTGTCGTCGAGCCGCCGTGGCTTTTCACAGGGCGAAACCGCCGCGTGCACGGCCGAAACTCTGAGATCGCAAACATGGCAGAGTCGCTGTCGTCCACGATGGCTGCGAATGATCCGATCCCCGACCAAGGTTGCCCTTCGAGTCCCCAAACGATTCCACAGCCGTACAAACTATACTCTGAGTTGTCGCCCGCGAGAATACTTGCCTCCTCGATATCCATCACGTGTGCCGTCCCGCGGAGACGCCGGCAGAGCCCCACCTGCTTGTCCTGCCCTCGACGGCACAATCAACAACCACACTCTCAGCACAGCGACTACCTTGCACGAATGAACAGCACGGACACGGCGTGACTATCAAGAACATAACACATAAAAACCTACGAGCATACGCAGCGTTCGAATGTGCATGGCGCGCGAAGCGGACTGACTGCTATTGGACCGATGTGCAGAAGCAGTCAGTCGGCTGTCAGCGTCACCTGCGACGTTATCGAGTCGTTAAGAGTTGGGATGCCTTTTCAGTTGGCTAGGACAACTTGGGGCGACCTCTGGTGGCAACGTACACAGGGATATATATAGATCTTGCATTCTCAACTCTGGCCCCCGTTCGATACCAAGCCACAGGGCGAAAACTCTTGATCTCGCTGCGCTCGGCATGGCCAACCTCAGGCCGCACACTCGCGCATGCCGTCGTGAATCACGACTAGGCCAACGTGGTGGTCGGGTCGCGCAGCGCTTCGGCACGCTGTTGGCCTTGAGCACGGTGTCAACGGCACTTCTAAAACTGATCGTTCCCTCGGACGCTTGGTGGCTGGCTACCATCACCCACTTCCGAACCCCGACGGTGTTTGAATGCTCCTCTGGGCAACAAACGGTAGTGACGCTGCATTGGTGGCACACCAGAGCCCATGCCGAGGACATTGCTCTCTTGCATGAGCTGCTAAGAATGCCACGGTTGCCTTCAACACGTGCTCCAGTCTGCGGAGTCGTTGGCACGAATACGCGAGTAGGAATGCACTGCCACCCGCGACGGAAACATGGAGCGCCATAACTACGTCAAGAAGCTCTACGCGACCATTTTCCTGTCCATCATCCGCGTTGATGGTAGGTGGACGCGCGTCGTTGACCTCTGCAGGGCAAGCGATGCATTCGCCAGCCCAAGTGGGGCAATCGTCGCAAACACATCAAATTTCACAGTGTGACCATTCAAATTCAATACTGAATGACGTCAACTTGCAGCGCGCTGCTGCTGCCGCTGCTGTCTGCAGCGACGGCGGCGGCGGCGGCATTCTGGTCGCTGAATGAACCACCGTCGTATCGGTACGACGACCTCTCAACTCGCCTCGATGCAGCGCAGAAAGCCCTGGCAGCAGCTGCCGCCGCAAACTCTGCGACGTCAGCCAACGACGCCACAACGTCCGACACGGATGCGGACTGGCTTGCATCCCTCGAGACCGTCATGCCTGCCATTGTGAGCATCCGCATCATGAAAGTCCGTGCATTCGACGACGATCGTGCGGGTTGTTCCGTGGCCACAGGGTTTATCGTGGACCGAACGCGGGGTCTCATCTTGACCAACCGCCACGTGGTCACCCCTGGCCCCGTCGTCGCCGACGCCGTGTTTGTCAACCACGAAGAGGTGCCGCTCGTCCCAATCTACAGAGACCCCGTCCACGACTTTGGGTTCTTCCGTTTCGACCCGGCCCAAGTCCGCTTCCAAACCGACCTGCCTGAAATTCCACTCCGGCCAGACTTGGCCAAAGTCGGCACGCCGATTCGCGTCGTCGGGAACGACAACGCGGAAAAGGTGCAGATTCTTCCTGGAATCTTGGCCAAACTCGACCGCGCCGCACCGCAGTACGGCCTTACCGGGTACAACGACTTCAACACGTTCTACTACGCCGCCGCGAGCAGCACGAGCGGTGGGTCGAGTGGGTCCCCCGTGCTGAATGCACAGGGCATGGCCATCGCCCTCAACGCAGGCGGCGCGACCAATGCCGCGTCGTCGTACTACCTCCCGTTGGACCGCGTCACGCGCGCTCTCAAGTTGTTGCAACAGGGCCAGGTCGTGACCAGAGGCACGTGGCAAACCATATTTCGCCACGTCCCGTTCGACGAAGCCAGGCAGTTGGGCCTTCCACCAGATATCGAAACAGCGATTCGACTCGAAAACCCGTCCGAGTTGGGCGTGTTGGTGGTCGACCAAGTGATCGAGCATGGCCCAGGACACGACTTGATGGTCGTCGGCGACATCGTGCTTGAAATGAATGGCCAGCATTGCACGACGTTCCTGTCGCTGGAATCCATCCTCGACGACAACGTGCATGCCCCCGTCGATGTCGTGGTGCAACGAGGCACCGCCAGAGTCTCCCTGACGCTGGTTGTCCAGGTAATTATCCCCGCCTTTGCCATGCAACTTTGGTTCGTGTGCCAGGGTGAACTCCACCCACCCTGCAACGTTGTCGTGCGAATTCTGTATTGTTTGTCTGGTGGCGTCACG